TTACCTAAAGTTTAAATATTCATTAGGGCAGTGAGAACATTGGAAGAGCACACTCAGTGAGTCACATTGTGCACATAATGCTCTGATTAACTGGCTTTTGACTCATATGACATCATGTGTATATATACTAAATAGACATGGGTATGAGATCCATTACTCATTTTGACTGGCAGTTTGGACATGTTAAATGCTTCCAGTCAAAGGATGTAACACAGTTTTGCCTTTGAAACCATTTGCTTGTCTCGGGGATTATATGATGAAAATATAATTTGCAGAAAACAAATGGCCAGGTGTTCAATTGTGTTAATAGTGGAGACCATTATACTTGTGTTAAACTGTAGTTTAAAGTATACAGCATTTAAAGTTAAAGTGGACTTTGGTCTGGCGTTGCCTAAACGAACAATCTGTGATTAGTAAAACTGTTGAGCTGTTGTGATGTAATAAAATCCCTAACGCATGCTTTTTATATTGATATGGTGCTTCTATGTGGTTTACACTCTTAATGTGAACTTAAGAACTACTGGTATTTCATAACATTTTAATTAACATTTAGATGATGTTGTCCTGGCTGTACTTCTCAAGGTTTCCTATACATGGGAAACAGTTTAGCTGAAACAGTGCTGATGAGTGACAGTAACTAAGCCTACAGTCAGCAGCAATAAGTGAAGCATGAAACCAGAGAGAGAGACTTCACTTTAGTCTCCTCTTTCTCATTCACAACTGCTGCCTTGAAATGTTTATTTCCTTGTTTTTATTCTGGTTCCTGAGCGGCGTCATCTTTGCTTCACGCATCACTTGAGAGCTGGTGACAGATGAATTATTTCTTCTCTTCTATTACTGTGAAGTTAAATGACAAAACATTCTGCAGCTAAAGGGTAAGAGATACTGATGAAACAACCTAGTCATTTAGTCAACTCGAGACGTCTAGACTAAATTTAGCCAAACATTTTCTTGAATCAATAAATCTAATTCAATAAATGCTACCGCTCAAAAGTTTAGGGCCGGTAAGATTTTTAAGACTCTTATGCTCATCAAGGCTGCATTTATTTGATTCAAAATACAGTAAAAGTATATGAAATATTATTAGACTTTAAAATAACTTTTTTCTATTTTATTATGTTTTAATGTAATTTATTCCTGTGATGCAAAGCTGAATTTTCAGCAGCTATTACGCCAGTCTTCAGTGTCACATGATCCTTCAGAAGTTATATGCTGATTTAGTACTTGAGTAACATTTCTTGTTATGATAAATTAATATTTTTGTGTAAACTGTGATCATTTTTCAGGATTCTTTGATATGAACAGAACAGAAAGAACAGCATTTATTTTTATTTTTTTTTGCAACATTGTAAAAGTCTTTGCTGACACTTTGCTGAATAAAAGTATTAATTTATTTAAAAAAAAAATCTTAACTCAAAACATTTGAACAGTAGTGAACCTGAAATACCATTTAAAAAAAAATTAAAATATGCCTTTAAAAAATACTATACTGCATTAACTTCAACTAAAGCTAAAGTTGAGAAGCTGAATTTCAGGAAAATGTTTAAGCAACACCAAGATCATTGGTTCGATTCCCTGAGAATGCTTGAACTGATAAAATGTACTGTATATAGTGTGAATGCATTGTAAGTTTCGTTGGATAAAATCATTTACCAAATGCATAAATATAAAATGTAAAGTGCAATAAAAAACTCACAACATAAACTTGTGCCTGTGAGAAGCGTGAGTCACGTTCATATTGCATTAGGCACGCCACTCTCACTCCAGAAATCTCTCTGTATAGCCGAGTGACCTGATTGTGATCTTATTGCAAAGAGGTTGTTGCAGTCCTTTGTTAAGACATCTGGACCCCATTACTGTTGCATGCTTTTACAAGGCCTTCACATCACGTACTGTAAATCGAAATATTAAATTCATAAGCACAGCTAGAGAGAAACCGAGGAAAGAGAAATCACTTTGAACCTGCAAGTCTAAAGAGATATAATCAAAACAATCACAATTAAAATTTCTGCAGCGCTCAAAGTGCAGAACAAAGAATAGACCACCCTCAACCTGTACACACACACACACACACACACACACACACACACACACACATATATATATATATATATAACCATTTCATGCTCTTATGAGAAGGAATCGTGCACTGGAAAACATGACTTTAATATAAAAACTGACCATAAATAATAAGCCCACATACCATTTATCTCACTTTTTTATTTGATATATTTTTTTATTTTGAAATAAAAAACACAGTATTAGAGAAAATATGAGAGAAGTGATTTGTTTTACAGCAAGTAGACATTTGTTACTGTTTTACATCTTATGTGGAGCCGACTGAATATTCAGTTCTTGAGTTATTTGAAATCATGCAAACTACTGTTTGAGCCCAAAACTCATAAAATCAGAATTTATAAGAATTTTAAAATTAACTGAGTTACATAATTTATTTTAATAGTATTTAAAAGCAATATTCTATAATTTAAAATGATAATTTTCAATATAATAATTGACTTATTGAGTATGTGGTGCGATACTGGAGTAATGCTCACCAAGATAGATGCCGTAGAACAACATAAAAGAATAAACACAGCTGATCACCATATTAAAAGAAAACATTATAGAAAATCATTTAGCCAAAAGAAAAAAAAATCTAATGTTTTGTCTGTAATTATAATCCATATACATATAAACTTCTTTTCAAGTGGGCTTATAAAGAAGGGTGGCAATAACCCTTACATTTCCTAATAAGTCCACCTAGCTAAAACTCACTGAACCTGATATAAAAACACATTTATTGAATTCATAGTGCTCAAAAGACATCCTTTCATGAACTTCACCCACTTACATCATTTTCATTGTGGGGACAAAGCAGGTAAAAGTAAGTGAATGAATGAATGAATGAATATAGGGACTATAAGGGACTAGACTCTGCCTAAAATGTCTCACAAGCTTGTTAAATTGACAAGAAATATTAAGCAGAAAAAACCCGAGACAGACTGAAAGAGAAAGTCCTTGCAGGTGCTCAGACAAAGAAAAGAGAATTACAGAGAGGTTTAGACTTCCTTAAGGTAAGATATACATACAGTTACAGACAGTCACTATGATAAGATTAAACATCCAGATAAATCAATTTACATTGACCGGTTGTGTTTGGTTTTTGTTGGTAAATTCTGAAAAATGTCAAAATATAAAAACCAATATATGTAAAAAAAAAAAAAAAAAAAAAAAAATATATGTAATTCATATTTGTCCATTAAATAAATAAATAAATTGAAGCATTACAAGTCTCTGGACTTTTCATGTTTACAATTTAAAAAAGGTATTTAATTTACCCATTTTATGACCGAATTATCCTTGACCCCTTGGTTGAAAATGAAATAAAATAAAAAAGTAAAGTAAAACGCATAAAATAAAATAAATAACAAAATGTGTGCACCCTTAAGATTCACCTTTCTATTCATTTCATATATTTTTCCTCAACAGATCTTCTTTTCAGATGATTATGAGCAAAACTGAATTGCTCTGTGGTAGCCTACCTATTAACATGTTTACAATAATAGCATGTTTACAGAACAGGACAATTGTTTATCCCCTATATACCATGTTTACATCTGTGACCTCGACATACCATATGTTTAGAGGCTTTGCGTTGGTACATATGGCAGTGCTGGTGTCCTCATCATTCAGCCAACATCAGCTCAGCCTGTAATTAAAATGTTCCTTTAGAGACTCGTCACGTGAATCGAGCTGAGTTTCCTCTTGCCGGCGAGACGTAGTTCAGGTATGGGATTACAACTCTGCCACAATTCTGCGCGCGAAAGATCTGAGTTTTGTGGAGAAAATGTTCGTTTCGCAAAGAAAAAAGTCTTTCTCAAGCTAAATTCTGATTGGCTGCCTTGACAACCAATCACAATATTTCTTGCATTACCTCGACAGCAGAAGAGGAAAAATACAGTGCATAGTTTGATATAGAATAAGTTGATATTCTGATTATATTTTTTTCCAAGCACATTTTACCAATAATTATAACTACTATTAATCTTGTATTTAATCACTTATAATCTATATATTATTGTTCATGATGGCTGGAAGTGAAAAACGCCT